TCGACTACAGGGTATTACAACATCTGTGTACTTTGTCAGGCCAAATAAATGGCGTCCAGTTGGCACCAAATTGTTTCAATATAATGAAGCGTTTCTTTGCTGGTCAATTAAGCTTTGCAATTATTTACCAGACACCCAGATCACAGAGAGTTGCAAGGTCCACCAACTGTGGAACGACAAAGTCACAGCACAAATATATGAGCCCAGTTCAAATAATGTGTGTACAATTATTTGCTGTAAATATTATTGTGCCATGAATTGAAATACTAACGATCAGGTGTGCTGATGGTGTTTTGTGTGGGTTGTGCCTGGCGGTGACTCAGTGAATGCTGCTATCTAACTTGCCAGCTCCTGTTTTACCTCTTTCTCTGTCTTTCACTGTCCCTCATTCTATCTGTCTCTTACTGGTATTGTTCTGGCGAAAAAAAAAAGTCATAGCGCTTTTTTTGGAGCGTGAACATCTGGCTAAGTCGTACCTGTTCCATTTAGTGGCCCGCCCGTACTTTTATGGGTTTGTCGGTACCTTGGCAGCGCCAACAAATGTTGCAAGTGGTAACGGCTGCTGCCTGTTGCCTGTTGCCTGAAAACAATGGCTCCACTTGGCCAACAACAACAACAACAACAATAGCAAAGCGACTTTGGCTCTGACTCTGACTGCGACTTGGTTGAGTGCCTTCGCCGTTTATTTTATGCTCCGCCTGGCTTTGGATCTAGCTCTAGGTCTAGCTGCAGCTCCAGCTCCAGCTCCAGCTCTGGCTCTGTCTCGTTGGCTGTGACCACGCTCTGTGTTATTGCTACGCATTTATAATAAGCGGAACATGGCACAGTGGGCGACTTCCTGTCATACGCAACAGGAAAGCAAAACGAAACCAACCTACTCCCAAGTCGTTTACCCAGCAGAACTTCCTTTTTTTAACAAACGGCTTTTAGCGGAATCCTAATATATATATAGGAAAAAAATAGATAGCAGCTGGAAATAATGAGATAAAAATGGGGAATAAATTATATGAAATAATTAGAAATTTACATGCTCATATGAAGGTTTCTACGTTTAAGGTTTTTTCTATAGCTTAATAAATGGTATCAGGAAATATATAAATTGAGAAGAGAAAAAAAATTGAAGATGCATAGTGAAAAATCTGTACATATTTTGATATAAAATAAATATGTTCGCCCATAATACTTTCCTCTAAGGAAGGCAAAATTTCCATTTTAATAAGAGTTTAAAATGTTAAAGAAGTCTCTAGAAATATAAGCACTAGCTTGTGCTCCTGCAACTTGCCCCACTGTGCGCATCTGATGAGTGGGTATGTGTGTGAGTTTGTGTGTGTAGTCTGCAGCTGTTGCTGGCGGCGCATCGGCGACCATTGCGCATTGTTCTATGGAATCAATCAATTGGTTTGGCAGGCGCAGCACCAGAACTGCCACGAATGACGACAACGACGGCGACGGCGTCCAACGATGACGATGACAACGCGCACGACGTCAACATAAAAGTGTCGATCAACTAAACGCTGTCGGCGCTGCCAGCCTGCCTGCCCCCTGTGTGTGTGTGTGTGTGTGTGTGTAGAACAGCCAGGGAAAGGCATTGGAAGAGCTATTATAAGCCTGGCTTTGGCATGGCCAGCCAAGAGGCAAGTTCATGGCTCGCTGAAGCGGCGTCTGCGATTGTCTTTCTGGCTCTCTGGCATATGGTGCCGATTCTTGAAGCAATTGTATTTATGGCTGCATGTAATTGCATGCGTCGTGACTTACACCCCGACTCCAAGCACCCGTCCCCTGGCCCCCACTTCACACAACCCATAGCCCAATACAGACGCTGTGTGCGGCGTAAGACCAATGACCGTTGCTTCTATTAAATTTTGGTTGCCTAAGCAAACACTGTTCGTATCATATGAATAGATGTCAGTAATTGACAGCTGCTGTTAGCCACTGACCACTCGCCTGCTGACCGTTAGCCACACACAATCCAAGCTTGAATTCATTGTAAGGTTCAAGTGTGGCTGCACTTGAAATTAGAATAAAAATGCATTTGAATCTCTACTCCGCGCGCACACTTGCCACCCCGCCCCTTTCAGTTTGAATGGTGGGAACCGAGTGCGCTCACAATGAAGCCATAATTCTTATAGCTATGCCATTGCCATGCCACAGTCTCTCGCGTACATGGTACATGCGAGTCGACGTGATAAAGGACTCATTAAAGCATCACCTGAATGGGCTGGTCTAGCAGCCTCCAATTCCTATTCCAAGTCAAACTCAGGCATAGCCAAGTTGTCTATGCACTCAAACACACACACACACACACACACGCACACAAGTTCACTTGCTCAATTGCTTTGCCACTTTAAGGCCTCACAACACTCAAGAGCGAACCAGTCTTTTAATACTCTTTTTTTATTGTGGCATCTCTTCACTTTCTAATGGTTTTGGCAACAGTTAATAGGGTAAAAATCATATGTACAACAATAATTCCAACATATATAATACATAATTTTAATCTATATACAACTTAGGATTTCTATATTTTATTATCATACAGCAAAAAGAACAAAAGTCTCCAATATAATTCTGTCAGTCAACAGAAATAGTTTTATAGAGATATGTATTATTATTGATTATTCTATATATTGATTGTAAAAAGTTATAATTATATTTGGGGCTGTTTTTTTTTATATATTATTATATCGGCCATTTAATTGTCCAAGTAACTTGTAGAGTATGCACACTTCCAGGTGACTTTTCTTACCTCTCTCCTAGTTTATTTTGGCTTGAAGGCTTTTCTGGCGTTGCATATATTCAGCAAAATAGAAAGAAGACGCAAACGAGTTGCTTGACTGGCGAGTAACAGTTACTTTTCTCTATACACACACATATATACTATATATATCTATACATTTATAGTTTTGGGGGCCTGCTGCATTATAGAGACGGCAGAGTGCAGTTCGAGCCTAGAGCTGCCGCCCAGTTTTGCCAACATGGGAACTGGGAAGAGTCTTTGTCGTAACTGGTTGGCCAGTCACGAGCTGCGCGCAGTCAAAGTCTTCCCGACTTACCCATTCTATTCTATTTCTTGATGCCAGCCTGACCCAAACAGCCGTCAATTCATAAGCACAGCTAACACCCCGCTATATAAAAGCCGCCCGCACTCCCCTCCTCGACTGATGTACACTTGCAATTTGGTTGGTATTACGTTTGCGGGCCAGTTCAAGTCCGAGGCCCACTCCCCGTTTTTGTTTTGAGCCATGTGCGAGTATTTCAATTTGGATGCTCGGTGGTGGTGGTAATACGTACGGTACTTGAGCCAATTACCCAATTAAACGCCAGCGTTTTGTGCAATCTCATTGCCGCCATCGCCTCGTAGTCGTAGATGCCTAAATATTGATATCTGTATAGTTTGTACAGTTTGTTGTTTGGGCCATGGCCCATGGCTATTTCTTTTGATTTGCGTCATGTTCTAGAGGCGTGCACAATTAGCGTTTTGTTCGGTTCCGTTATAGCCTGGCCATGCACAATGCGCCCAGGGATTATGTCTTGAGAGTTGCGACGCGTCGGTCAAACTATGAAACTTGTTTGCCGATTATTATCGATTGGTCTGTTTTTTCGCTATCTTTCACCTCTTTCCGTCTTTCTTTAATGTGTGTGCCAAGCGTTGTGCGGGGCGGGCTGTTCCAGGTGGCCCATACTTGAACTTTGTTTGACTTTAACCCGCACAACAACCCAATAATTCGGTTTGGGTTGGGCAAATGAATTGCATAGTGTTTAGAAACTAGCTGATAATGTTCACAAATCGCTTTGACAAGCCACAAAACAAGCTGTACTAAATGGATGGACTAATTAGCAAATACAATTTTTAAATTTCTACCACTTGCGCCTTTCTATGCAGTTCTCATTGTATATTTTGTGCTGCATAGTTAATAGTTCAGTCCTGAATGTATTCTCTTGCGCTGAATTAAATAAAACAAGTAAGAGGTTCTAGTCGGGAGCTCCCGACTAGGGGATACCCTGAAGCCTCTTCTTCCAACATCAAATGCATATACATATTCTATTTTAGAAGCAACATATCATGTTTTGTGACTCTAGCTGTTATTATTTATCAAAATTGCCCAAAAAACAGGATATCGATAACGATTTTTATCGATTGCTTGTAAACGGAGTTAGTTATCTGCGCAGGCACTAGGAGCACCTACATTAAAATTGCAAGTCTATATCTCTTATATGTTCTGAGATCCTTGCGTTCATACAAACGGACGGACGGACGGACATTGCTAGATCGACTCGGCTATTGATGCTGATCAAGAATATATATACTTTATGGGGTCGAAATTGCTTCCTTCTGCCTGTTACATACATTTGGATTTTGCACAAATACAATATACCCTTATACCCATTTTTAATGGGTTCAGGGTATAAAAAACAGACATAATGCATTTCTGCTGCCATAAAGCAATCTTTTTGTGCAGCTATAGAACTTGACTTTATGGTGATTTGTTCCTAAGCAGTTGCTGCTCTTTAAGTTTCTTGTCTCATAAGTTTTGCAGAAACGGAGGCCAGCATCAACGCCACATGGGACCAGTCTAGACCACTGGACCCGACAAGACCAGGCCAGGCCAAGCTGAGCCAGTGTTTTGTCTTGTGGTTTTTTGTCGCTATCAGGATTCACATTTTATGCAATTGTTTCCATAGAAAGAATGCCATGTCTAAATACATACAACACACAGCAGCAGCCGCAGCCGCAGCAGCAGCCACCGACCAGCAGCGCCAAGTAGCTCTCAACTTGACTTGGACTCGAACTTGTAGACGGTCGGTGCACAGGTCTGTGCTGTCTATCTGGTCAGTCGTGATCAATGTTGGCCCATGCAGAGCACACTAGAGCAAAACAAACTAGCAATATTTAACTTGCAATTGATTAGCTAGGCAATACCCTGTATCAGTGCAAAGCGACTTTTATTATATAATTAAAATTGTTTAAACAATTTGTAAACAGTGACTAGATATGTGAAAAAGTAATGCATACTTTATGTTGTGTTTTTAACTAGTTCGAATCGAAAACTTTTTAGTTTAACTTAAATTTTTCCACAAGATTCATTTGCTTGACGACAGCGACAACCGAAAATGCAAACTTGGCAAACTGTAGAATAAAATAAAAATAGTATGATTTTTAGATCTTACAGCATTATCATTGAATTACCGTTATATTGGTTTTCATGTTGATAGGAAACATGCCGCCGGCAATAAAGCTAATCGACTTCTGAGCTGCTTGCAAGAAGAAGAACAACGTCGATTTATAGCGTCGACTTGCACCGATCCATTCTGAATAAAATATGGCCAAGTTCAAATTGTAGCAATCGTCATTGATTAACTCGCAGACATAACAAAAGGGAAATGTCTGAATCAGTAAGACAATAATAAATAGACCTGTGGACAGGCCCGTCAACAGGGATGAAAAAAATAATAGATGCATTAGCGACAGGCCCAGACCCAGGCCAATTACCAACAACTGGGCGAATAGGGTGCGAGATATGACAGGTCGAAAAAGCTCACAACATCTGAAAACTTAAGTTCTTAGTTCTTTTAATAACCTTTAATGATTCTGACTTACTGTAGCACAAGTTTGTGATCCTTAATGCAGTTAACCAGTTCCTCATAGCTCTGCCTCTCCGTTTTAGCGGGATCTGTGCGTAGTCTTTGGACGCGCCGCGTCAACAATTCTATATGGGTTCGCAAAATCAAGCCAAATATAACCGGATAGACGTCGGCCATTTGATCTGCATAGACGGCACTCGAGCCTACAACATACTCGTATGTGGCCGCTATCCAGAGACTTTTCTTACTTTCTCGAAAATCCACAAACGGATTGTAGGATACCCACGGTGTTGTTCCCGTGAGTGCGGATAGCAAAAAGTTCATTGTAGCATATACCGTGTAGGCCGTTTGATACATCATAAAGACAAAATTGCAGCGGACAACACAGCGATGTATTTCGACACGATGCTCATATATAATACATCCTTCATCCAGATTATCCAGTAGTTCCTTAGCTCTTTGAAAACGCCACATGTTGGGAAAAATAATTGCAACCTTAAAGATGAGGCTGAGTACATTAAAAAAGGCCTGCACTGAGGATAGAAATTCCTCTGGTGTATATCGATTTAAATCGATAAAATAGCCCGATATAAACACAATTGGCAGGTAGATCTCTGCAGTCGTATGTACATATAGCGCCCAGATAATGTAGATGCAGTAAAAACGATTGCTCCTTTCAGGTGGCATCCAACCTACGCATTTCATGCCCCTTTCCAAATACTTGAACGCATCTCGACCGGGAAACAAATCTCCCATAGATGGCTCTCTCAAATATTTGAATATCATTATGTGACACTTGTAACCAACGCTTGTTGACCTCTTGAAACGTGAACTAAAACTGCTAATTCGCGTTAAATGTTCAACCTTTTATATAATTCCAAGGAGTGCATTCTGCTTATTGAGTGCGCTTTGAGTAGGTATAAGCTATAATCATCTTCCAGATGCTTCAATTCTCAACATGCTTATAAAAAAATGAAGAAAAAATTGCACTTTACATAAGGGCATTTTTTGCTGACATTTGTTTTGCTTATAAATTAAAAAAATCCAGCCATTGCCTCGAGCCCGTGAATTTTCATTTTTTCGAGATAGGAAAGGAGGTTTTGCGATTTGTGAACAACCTTTTCCTACATTCGGTTATATGCAATTTCAACTATTTTGTAATCAATTGACCAAATGGGATATCCTTTATGTATCCTCAACAATTGGCATTGGCAGCATATTATTATACCCTTTTCAATTATATCTTATTAGTGCAGGGTATAAAAAAATCCAAGGTCCCTGTTAATTAAATACTAACTGCCAAATAGGCGTAACTTGCGATTGGGCTGAGGGCGGTGTTATTTTTGCTTAAGCCTGACAGAATGGCTATGAAATGTTTGGCTTAAGGAGAAGTGTTATTAAATAACAAATAAGTGTTTAATAATTAGTAAGATTTAATTGTCAACAAAACAAAAAACATATTCAGCACATGCAAAGTTCTCAAAGTCCAATATTGATGCATGGAATATTTGATTTGAATTCAGAGGTTACATTTTAAAATGTTGTTTAAATTACGAAACCAATTTCTTAAACATATGTCAATCATTCACAGCTAATGAAAACTTAATTATGGTTATGCGATTTTGATATTTTAACATAAGCTTAAAACTTCCTATTTAAAATGTTCTTTGCACACCCAACTTGTAGAATGCAGCTCCTGAAATCTCTAGAGAACTGAGAACAGATCGAGTGACATTTTTAAGTAAATCAAGAGCTTCAACAAGCACTCATTAAAGGCATTGAAACTGCCTTCTTCTAGCCCTTGCATGCATTTGCAAATATTATGCCCGCCCGTTTTGCCCAGTTTCCAGGGTATAGAAATGCGACGCCAATGTAAAGCAGCAGCAAAACGTTGAAATGTTGACAAGGCGCTCGGCGACAACGATTAAAATCTCTGGGGAGCCCAAAAGAACGTGAAGAACGAGCAGAGCGAGATACTCCGGAGTCTCACAGGTAGATGTAGGAAAAACAGAAACATGCTCTATTCGCATTTGCACTGCAACTGGAAAAAAAAAATATATATATATATAGTGACATATCCATAGTCGCACCCACCCTTTAACATAACTTAGCACATAAGCATAAGCACAATTATAAACATTTCTAATATTGTAAACAAAGAGCCTGGTGATAACATCGACATTGGTCAAGATCAAACTGTCCCCCTTTGGTAGACATAAACAATTCACCCTAAATATCACGCCACTGTCAATGTTCCCATCAGAGTACTATCCCACGCATAATTGCTGACGCAGCTCAAACTTCACTCAATTTTGACTCAAACTCTCTCAAAGCGAAGTTTGCTAAGCGACCGCAACAGTTAGATAAATCAGTTCATATTCGGGAAGCAAATCTGAATGTACTCAACAAAAGTAGCCGTTAAGTGAAAATAATAAATTGAAATATATTTTTTTATAGTAACCTAACGTGTAAAACTTAATTGGCGCAGCCGGTAGGATACGTCGGGAAAAATTAAAGATCGCTAAAGGATAATTAATTCCCAGATCTAACGCACAATCGCGACCGAAAGTGTTGTCGGAGTGTAATAAAAATTTTCTCGAATACGTATCCGCACAAGAACCTTCGGGTCATTAGTAGCTTAATAATATTGACCCTTTGGGCAATAAAGCTACTACAGTTAATAACGACTGGCTTTGCATATCGTTTGATCCCTGCAATACGTTATTACTGAGTCTTTTTAAGACACACACACAAAAAAAAAAAAAACATTTGCACAATAATCCATCACAAACTTTAACTTAAAATAAAAGTGCAAAATCAAAGAACAATAAAGTTCAAACCTACAAACTCAAAACTATTCAAAAAAAAGTGTATTACACCAAGATGACAATGGAATTATCAGAACAACACCTCAACCAGGCCCTTTCACAACTTAGACAGGTGCCAAGCTTTGACGGATCAACGGATCAACTAAACGCCTTCATTAAAAGGATAGATTACATCCTACACCTGTATCCAACCCGAGATGTTAGACAACATAGCATCTTATACGGAGCCATCGAATTGCAAGTCACAGGAGATGCTCAGAGAATATCACAAAGGACAGCAGCCAACACTTGGCAGGAGCTGAGAAACGCATTGATTGAAGAATACAAAGTGCAGACACCATTTGAAGAACTCCTTCGACGCTTATACAACACGAATTACCAAGGAAACGTCCGTAAGTTCATCGAGGAGCTCGAGAATAAATCTTTTGTTATTTTAAATAAGTTAGCACTAGAAAATATACCTAGCAATACAACCCTTTATACAAATGCTATGAATAACACAATCAAAGATGTTATTACAAAAAAATTACCAGATAGGCTTTTCATGATGTTAGCCAGACACGACATTACGTCGACACAAAAACTAAAGCAAGTAGCTCAAAGAGAGGGATTATATGAAAATAGCGTTACTGAAAAACCTAAAAATAATAATGTTCAGGGAAATCCAAATAACAATCGTAGGAACATGGGAAATTATCAGCAAAATGCTAACCCAACCACCATTTCAAGTGGCTATTCCAACACGAATCAGAGTTATCACGCACAAAATAAACAGCATAATAAGTCCGAAGACAATCAGAAAGCTCACCACGAGTTCCAACAGAAATTAAGTCAAGGTAGATACCAAAATCCCTTAAACTACCAAAATCAGTCCCATTCACGCTTGAATGCACCAAACCCTCCGACTAAACGTCAAAGAGATAGTAACAGTGGGCAGATGAAAATGGATACATCCGAAAATTTTCATCAGCAAGCCTCGGAACAAACAGAAGAAATCCATTCATAAAATTGATTATGAATGACGAAGTTCTAAAATGTGTCATCGACACAGGTTCAACCATAAATCTAATGAAAACAAACCGCTTAAATTTTCCAGTTTACAACGAAACATTAAAGGTTCACACCATAAATGGTGTTATTGAATTAAAACAAAGTATACGATTAGGAGCAAGCAAAATTTGTCCGAGCAAACAAAAATTCTATATTCACGACTTCTCAGAGCATTATGATGTTCTGATTGGGAGAGAATACCTTGAGGCATGTCAAGCAAAAATAGACTATGCACAAGGATCCGTAACCTTAGGAGAATTTAACTTTTGTTTTAGATATAATGACGAAGAGGTCGAAGAGGACATGACCGCACAAGAGTGCCTTGATCCACCCTCAACAGAGGACAGACCATTTAACTTCGCTATTAATAATGAATTAATAGAAAACAATGAGTTTAGGCTAGAGCACCTAAACTCAGAAGAAAAAGAAAAAATAAAAAAAGTTTTACATGAATTTCGTGATATCCAGTACCATGAAGGTGACAATTTGACTTTCACTAGTACAATTAAACACAAAATTCTAACGAAACATGAGGACCCAATTTACAAGCGTCCATACAAATATCCTCAAATATACGATGAGGAAGTAAATAAACAAATAAGCGATATGATAAAACAAAATATCATACGTAAATCCAAATCCCCTTACTGCTCACCAGTAATAATCGTTCCAAAGAAAAACGATGCATCTGGAAAGCAAAAATTCCGGTTAGTCATAGATTACCGCAATCTCAATGAACTAACTATTAATGATAAATACCCTATCCCGATCATGGATGAAATATTAGACAAACTTGGAAAATGTCAATATTTCACAACCATTGATCTAGCCAAAGGCTTCCACCAAATCCAAATGGATCCTGGTTCAATACCCAAGACCGCATTTTCGACTAAACATGGCCATTACGAGTACACTCGCATGCCATTTGGTCTTAAGAATGCACCTGCAACGTTCCAACGTTGTATGAACAATCTCTTAGAAGATTTAATTTTTAAAGATTGTCTGGTCTACTTAGACGACATTATTATTTTTTCCACTTCATTGGAGGAACACATTTTGTCGCTACAAAAGGTATTTAAGAAGCTTAGAGAAGCTAACTTAAAACTACAGTTGGATAAATGCGAGTTTATGAGAAAAGAAACTGAATTTCTCGGTCACATCATCACAACTGAGGGTATAAAACCAAATCCCAACAAGATACAAGCAATTGTCAAATTCCCAATTCCAAAAACCCCAAAAGAAATTAAATCATTTCTAGGATTATGTGGTTTCTATAGGAAATTTATACCAAATTTCGCTAATATAGTAAAACCATTAACACTTAAATTAAAAAAGGGAGCAAAAATCAATATAAAAGACAGAGACTACGAGCTAGCGTTTGAAAAGCTAAAAGTACTCATAACATCCGACCCAATTTTAATATACCCTAACTTCGAAAAACCATTTTCATTAACTACAGACGCGAGTAATATGGCAATAGGGGCCGTCCTTTCGCAAGAGCATAAGCCTATATGCTATGCAAGTAGAACTCTCAACGAGCATGAGTTAAATTATTCAACGATTGAAAAAGAATTATTAGCAATCGTTTGGGCCACTAAATACTTTAGGTCCTATCTCTTTGGTCGACAATTTCAAATCCTTAGTGATCACAGACCACTCGTCTGGTTAAATAATATGAAAGAACCTAACATGAAATTACAAAGGTGGAAGATCAAGCTAAATGAGTTTGATTTCCAAATTAAATACGTCCCAGGAAAAGAAAATTATGTGGCAGATGCTCTGTCCAGAATTCAATTAAACGAAAACTTCTTAGGCGAAGATACAATTAGCACAAGAGCAACAATACATAGTGCTCAAGAAGACAACAGTAACCATTTACAAATCACAGAAAGACCACTTAATTATTATAATCGACAAATAGAATTTGAAAAAGGAACCGAGA